CGATGCTGTTCACGCTTAAACGCCCCCCCACGGGGGGGGGGACGGAATCCAGGTGAACCTCGAAAACAATTCATGTGTTATCGTTGTGGGATGCAACATGCTCGTGTTTGCGTGTCGCCCCAAAGAAAGCACCTGCCGAAAATTTGCTCAAATATGCCACTTAACACGCGTGCAGATCGGAACCTGCCCCACTGATTAATCTCACTCAATTGAGGCGCCATACTAAGCCAATGCTTAGGGAGTAGAGCGTTCTGGAAGACCCAGACAACGATCTCAATTCAGTCTAATGGAATACCGTACCACCCAACCAGTGCTCTCCATATACAATTTGTTTGATGATCGAGAATGAACCGATCGATTTGGAACTGGATACAGGGGCTGCAGTAACCATTATAAACAGTGATTCAATTAGGAGTCTGCCGCGATTACCACCATGTGACTCCAAATTGCAAATCTACACGGGGGATCCGATTAGGGTCTTGGGAAGGTGTATGCTTAAGGTCAGGCACGGCGAGCGTGAATTAGCTCCCCGTTTGATCGTGATACCTGGGAAAGACTAACTCTCCTACAAAGAAGGTCGATCCGATATTCCCAGAAACGATGCAGATTAATGAGGTGGTGATCAATGACAGCAGTCTAAGCGATCTATTGATCCAATTGTCTTCTCTATTCAATAATAGGTTAGGCAAGCTGAAACATTTCAAAGCTTCCATCAATCCATGGCAGAACACAAATACCAAGTTTTAAAAGCACGAAAATTACCATACGCTATGCGTGCAAAAGTTGAAGTAGAACTACAACGGCTACAATCTGAAGGCGTAATCATGCCAGTGCAACACTCGGATTGCGGTACCCCAATCGTTCTTGTACTCAAACCCGACGTTACCGTTCGTATCCGTGGAGACCATAAGTTAACTGTCAATAAACCTACCAAGGTGGATAGTATCCTTTGTACGCGATGTTACCCGGTGGTCAAAAATTGTCTAAGCTTGATCTTAGTCACGCATATTCTCAAGTTGAACTTGATGAGGACTCACGCGAATTAACCACCATAACTACACATCTGGGGCTATTTCAGTATACCCGTCTTCCTTACGGAGTAAGCTCTGCCCTCAGCATCCTCCAGCGGATTGTGGATGACATCATGATGAAATCTCGTACGGGAAGCCGTTCCTTTCAGCTGACGATGTTAACATTGTGTATTGCTCCGCCCCTGGGCAATGTAGTCCTAACTTAGCCTATATTCAGTCTGACTTGTCCGCATTGGAGCACTGGAGTAACTCCTGGAAGTTGCACTTTGCCACTGACAAGAGTAATCTATTGTACCACGGCTGTGGCCCTACTCTGAACATCCTTACATTAAACGATACCCCTATTCCTGTGTGTGGCGCAGTCCGAGACCTTGGTCTAAGATATTCTGCCGCGTTTAATTTTTTAGAGCATGTTTTATTTTTGCAGGCTTCTGCCAGAAAACTGATCGCCTACATAAGTCGAACACTTATTTTGATGGATTCCATGCTCAAGACTTTAAAATATGTGTTAGGCCGAAGCTTGAGTACTGTACGATAATGCATATTAATCTGAGAAAAGTGGATATTATAGCACTAGAAAACATTCATCGATCATTCACAAAAAGGTTTTTGAACATGCCTAATACTATGACATACCGTGGGCGTTGCGAGGCGCTAAATCTGGAGCCGCTATGGCTATGCGGACTCAAACTTAATCTGTGTTTTGTATACCGCTTACTACTCGGGTTAAGCTTCACTGCTCAGCCACAACTCGCGTTTCAGACTCATATGCGCCATGAACTAAGAAACAGCGAGCGCACAGTGCAAATACCAAAGTCTCGCACAAAGCTCCGCTCACATTTTTTCTCCGTAAAATATGCGTTAATATGGAACAAACTTCCATCGAGTGTTAGAAACTGCACTACCTATCCGCAGTCCAGACGCATGATTAATATTCATCTGACTGTTGCAAATATCTGGTCAACACTAAGCAAATGGTGACTCTAAATGATTTGTATGAGAAAGGTCCTGGATACATATGAAAGTCACCATATCCTCTATTCGCTTCAGCAATATAAGTTTACCTACATATGGTTGAATTCTTGAGTATGTATTTGAGAACGATCTTACTCATATCACTCCGTCTAACAAATGCTGTGTTCTCATTTGACACACTGGTTCCAAGATGCACTACGCCTTTCAAACTGATGTCTCTGTACCATCGTCGTCACTCGCCAAGATTTTCCATCAAATTGTGATTGGCCTATCGGCAAGCGGTTGTATTCATTATTATGTTTTATAATTCCTCATACTTTATCTTCTTCTTTGTTTCACTGTTGGTCATGGCTGGGCTGATCTCTTGTGGTGACGGATTACAGCTTCCAAAATAAAAAGTATACCCATGCAAATCATATTACTACTGACTCGCTGGCTTTAACCAAAAAAGTGCCATACTTGATTGATCCGCATGACGGAACAGGCTGAGGCTTCATCGCCTATAATGTATTCATTAAACAGCCTTAGAAAAGACATTTGATACCCAGTTCTGATGGCCTATTTACTATTTTGCCACACAGGCACAGAGCCAATTGGAGCATGGAAGTGCGGGTGAAACCCATCGTGGAAATATCCTGCATGGAAGCAAGTCCCCTGAGGACAGTTCCATGGATGACCGTATTACTTTACTTAAACTTTCCGTGAAATCTACATTTATTATGTTCACAGTTTCGTAATATTTTTACTATTTTCAAACTGCTAATCACTTCAAAAACCCATATGGGAACCATTGAACAAAAGACGTAAAATTAACTATATTATGCGATCACGTTGTACATGTCGATAAGACCACCCAATTGGTCTGTGCCTCGCACTGTTGAGGAATAAAACGTTTATTTATTTATAACCTTTACCTGTGCTCATTTGGATTATACCCTGGTTTCTGGCCAAGGTATTGCTGAACATTTGAAGATACTTCAGACAGTGTTGGGACATACTGGATCGAATGGATTGAAACGGAAGAAATCTAAATGTGAGTTTTGTCTGGATCTTTTTGTTATCTCGGTTACAAACTTGATAAGGGAGGTCTGCATGTTTTGCAGGATAAAGTATCCTTAATTATACAGGCAACACAGCCTAAGAATGTTGATGGTCTCTGAGCATCCTTAGAGATGTTATCGCACTATCGTCGTATTTTACTGGGGGCATCAACCATTTTAGCTCATTTGAAGGCACTGCTACATAAAAACACCCCGTGGGTGTGGAAGGATGCGCATCAGTCCGCTTTCATCCGTGCTAAAAACAGTTTAGCATCAGCGCCAGTTTCAGTTCACTACGATAGAAGGAAACCTTTGCCCATTCAGTGTGATGCTTCTCCATACGGAATTGGAGCGGTTTTGTGTCATAAAATGCCGAATGATGCAATTCATGCGTGTTTTTGCTTCGCATGCCCTATAACCGGCTGAAAAAATTACTCACAACTTGATCGAGAGGCCATATCAATTAGCGTTGGTGTCGAGAAAATTTCACTAGTATATTTGGGCAGTCATTTGGAGATTAAAACTGATCACAAACCGTTGATATCCTTATTGGGTGAATCCAAGTGGATCCTCCAAATCTTTTCACTGCGAATGCAACGATGGGTCCTAATCCTTAGTACGTATGAAGACAAAATCTCTTGCATCCCAGGCTCTAACAATTGTACGGCGGATGTCTTGAGTCAGTTGCCGCACGTCGCCCTCCGCAGGGCCAATAGATGAACCGGTGGAGTTAGTTCATTTGATGCAGTACCTGAACAGCACCCCTTTGACAAGTGACGACATATGTCGATGGACCGAGCGGGATCTCAAACTAGCTTCCGTGATACGTTTCACGAAACTGGGCTGGTCTAGTAGAATTCCGGATGATTTGAAACATTTTCGGACTTCGAAAAAATGAGTTGAGTATACACGATGGTTGCTTGTTTTGGGGTTCACGTTCGATTCCACCGTCGGAAGCGCGCTCCTTCATTCTAAATGAACTTCATAATGGACATCCAGATGTTGCCCGAATGAAGGCCCTTGCACGCGGTTATTGCTGGTGGCCCGGCTTAGATTCCGAAAATGAAAACTACCTAAAAACGTGTTATCTCTGCCAACAATATCAGTCGGATAAACCTCCAGGTCTAATACATCCATGGCGTTGGCCTGAAATGTCATGGCAGCGTATCCATGCAGATTATTTTAGTCCTTTGAACGAAACATTTATCTTGTTGATAGTTGACGTCTATTCGAAGTGGATAGATGTTTATCTAGTTTCTCATCATACAGCTATAACAATCATTTCAAAGATGCGGTCATCGTTTGCGGGTTTCAGAATACCTGAAACTATTTGTACAGATAATGGGTCCTGTTTTACCAGCGGGAGTTTGAGAGCATTATGCAGAGTAATGACATCCAACATGTATGTACAACCCAATATCATGCTGTGCCAAATGGATTAGCCGAAAGGGTGGTGCAGACGGTAAAAAGAGGCCTGCTATAACAATTATCCGGAACCATACACACGCGAGTAGGTCGATTACTTTTTGCCTACAGAACAACTCTGACAGAAGCCACGGGTAAATCCCCCGCGGAATTGATGTTCAGTAGAACACTTTGTACTAGATTACACCTATCATTTTCTAATCGTCGATCGTAATTATAAGCGAAACAAAAGAAGACAGCTACAATGGACAGCGATTAGGATGTTGTTTCCCAACCGGGAGATCCTATGTATACCCGACTTCCACACGAACAGTCATGGCAGCCCGCAACCCAGGTCACAAGTGATTGTACGCAGGCTGACCTAGAGGTAAATGGTCGCGTCTTGAGGCGGCACTCAGAACAAATACGTTCACATTGTGTAGAAACAGGAGAAAATGAGGAAAATATATCGGACTCAGTCCGGCCGACGGTGGAACAAACTCCTTAAGATTCAGCGCAAACAACAAACTACCCACCACTCCGCAGATCTCAACATGTACCTAAACCTGTTGAACGCTTCGTTCCCGGTGTATGACTTTCTCCAAGAGAGGAAGGGATATTACATCCGTCACTGATATTGATTAGTTAGTTCAGCCACACCACGTTCTTATTGGTGTTCCTCGCATTGACCAATCAATAGTTCCTCACTCATGCTTTAACTCGTGTGTCATGTGAGCCAGGTCGCACTGCTTCGCCCGATACACTTTGCTTCGTACTGTATCTTGTTCATGCCTAACTGCGGTCTGGGGGCGTGCTTTGCCTAATTCCTTACTATGTATTAACCAGCGATGAGAATGTGGTTGTTACTAGGTCTTGTTACCTTGTTCAAGGCACTTTGCAAGCAGGAATCCATTTCCAGAGTGGACGTTTGGGTGGCGGTAAAGGACAGCTACGAGACTTACGTCCTCATGTCTTAGCCGGAGATGGCACCAGAGTGAGTCGGTAACACGAATATCCAGATCATCAACTATTGCACGTTGCAGGTCGCTGCGGTAGTAGAGAAGGACCCCACCTTCTCTGCTGGGACGATCGGTCCGGATGAGTGACATTCGTGCTATCTCAACCTCAGCATCAGCCACTTCTTAGTGCAACCAAATTTCAGTAATTGAAGTACGGTTTCAAGCAACTGTGACCTAACGTAGCGGAAGTTCGATAAGTTTACTGAAGCTCTGTTGGGCATTGGTGTACATACATGAAAGTTTCTCAGATGTAAGCATATTGTCGGAGGTTGAACAACTCATGCGTGAAGTTTCACCGACCAGTGAGTGGTCGACGACTAATCGTTTTTTCGGTGTGTACTTGGCGAAGGGTTCAACGTCATGTTCATCGTCTGCGTAGTTAGTCCCGAATCTAATCGTCCACGTATATCGTTAGTTGGCTGGTCACAGTCTTCTTCAACAGATTGTGAGTGCTCATCAGACACACTACCGGTGCATTGTTCTTTTATAGTTCCCATTGCGTTTGGTTCGTTGCTTGACGTATCATATCTAAGGAGTATACCGCCGACTGTCTTCAGCCGAAGCTCAAATGGTAGACTGCAACGAAACATGTACCAGCTTTTTTGCAGTCGTGTTACTATATGTTTTGAATGTAGGACCAACTACAATCCGCTCGGGTCACATCCTTTGTAGTTCGGTGAGGTACGCAGAAGTGACACCGATTTCGCTAGCACATCTTTCAAGGAGATAGATTCAGGAATATAACACCATGGTTCTTTGTCTTTGGTTATTATTTGATGCTACGCGCATGCTTCCGTTTCAGCAACGCCATGAATAAGATTGGTACTGTGTAAAATTTCCTTCCGGTAGTCCTCTAAGTTGCGGTTAATTCGATTGCGCTCGCTCCATGGGATGTCTGGAAAAGCACTCGTGGAGCAGTGTAGACTGTAGAATTGATCTTACTTCGTTGATGCAGTTAAGCACAACGTGTCGATGACTTGACCCTCCGTATTGCTTAGCGTTTGGATGCCGCGTAAATCGCAGTACGTGTACAGATTTCAGTACAGCTCCGATTAGTTTACCAATGAAGTCCCACTGGTTGAGGTCGTCCATGTGGCTGCCTGTTATTAACGTCCACTTTTATTTCCGGTCATTGGAGCAAAGTGCGCTCAGTACAGGTGGTTGTTTCTTTGCATCTTTCGACATCTCACGGGTAGAAGAGTACAGCCGTCTGGTGTGCCGTAGAAATTTGTTTTCTATTCTTGTGTGTCAACCATGGAACAAGCTCTCCGAATTGGTTGTTTCTGCACCCACGCCAGCTATATTTAAAAATTGACTAGACAATGCACTCGATCACTAATATTTTGTTAATTGGCGCTACTCTCCATCCAACTCCCAGAAAAAACTTTGAATTCTTTCCGCCTATTGAAGGTATGGAAACACTTGGAGTGCATGGCTATTGCATCGCATACGATAAGTCCGTTCATTTGACAATAGAAAGAAAAACCGCATTTTTATTAACCTTTTTCGATAACCCAACAGACTGCCCGACGGGGCTTGTAATGCATTGCTTCTTAATCCTATGGAATCATTGTTCATACAAAGTTGTATTTGGGGAAACCGCCATGTCGTTGGGTTGCGACACGCACCCCTCTATTGAGATCTCGGTCATTCCGGACGCGACGACCAGATACGAAGTGGAAATATTTCCGTGTTGCGCCTCCCAACACTGGCACACCACGATCGCGGTTTCGTCCTGGTTTGGACTCATCAGATGGCGATAGCCTGAGCTGGGGTGGAACGCAGATCCTAGTAGTTCACGGCTGATGGCCGGAATTCTACGCTACTGAGATCCGCGAGCAACGCTTGGTACAGCGTACATTGTTCAGTGCGCAAATGTACGAGGTTCCCAATCTCTACGAAAGAATGACCGCAAGGATGTCTCGGTCTACGTGCTGCAATACAACTCCTGGTGATAACTGGTATTTAACTTCACGAAGCACTATTCCGGGCAGGCACCAAGCTCTGCGTTTACCAGTGTGTTTCAGGTTGCTTGTGAACCAAAGCAAAACAACAAACTCAGTGCGATCATTGAATGTGCATGCGTCTTTCGCTTTCGGAAAAACCCATCCGTCTCTGTTAAAATGACATGGTCTTACTGTCTTACTTGCTATTCAACAGCTGAACTTAAGTGTGTGTGAATTCTATGCGACGGTAAAAAGCAAATCACACGGATCGTGAGCCATCACGCCTTGCAAAGTAGCACACGAGCCTACTTGAGACTAAGGAGTATTGTGCTGGGGTTTCTCAAGCTACAATCACAGTTGGGGTTTTTCCACTTCAAGATACGTAGTAACAATTTGTTTTAACGCATGTAATTTTGATGTATCCAGAAAGAAAACAAATCCTGCTTAGCTAGTGTTGGTGCACTTGACCTTCAAGCCTTCACCAGATCAGAATAAGCGATTGTAGCAAAGTAGACTTGAAGCAACCTTGTGCGTCGCGAAATCGGTATATAATGACTTCGGTATTGTTTGCCGCTACGGTGGGTGTAACTGTCTCCCAGAAATGCACGCCTTCTTCCTACTTGTACTGGTAAGCTCTCACTCCTGCCTACTCCATTGATACCCATTGCAGTCTGATTGTGCGCAGCATTAGGAGGACCAGTGTGTTTTCTTTGCATGCGATGTATTATGTTCGAAGCAAAACTACTGAAATGCTTAGAACCACTGAATTGTCATAGCAAGTAGCAGATGAACTAGGCTTTGTAATGCAGATATATGAAGTTGAAGCGGTGAGCAAGGAACAATAGCCCAAGAACACGCAAACCCGTTGTTCGCAAACATCGATGAAGTTGACTTCTCGGTCGGTTCCAAGTATAGCCCACGATTTCGATTAGCTTACATCATACATCATCACTGTAGAATTAGCAACTATTTTCCACTCATCAACTCACAAGTTGCCTTTCTGTTCTCTTTTATTAGGTCATTTATCTCTCAACGATGCACAGTGGTGGTGATTCGTCAGCGACTACTGGAAGACGGCTGAGTGGATGCGCACAGCAGTGTGAAACACAAGAGCAGTTTATAATACCTGCCACACTCAGCACAAACATGACCGCGGAAGAAAGGCGGCACTTTAGACGTTTCATCAACTGCATCAGCCAATGCGAGTACGGAATGACCATTTATCCTTAAGCTAGACTTGAAGGAAAGTTAACTGCACCACATACCTATGCGATGAGCACTACCGTTATGTGTGTTAACCTTGCTGTGTTATGTGTCAAAAGCAAGTAAAACATTTATAAGTAGTGTGCTTGTTTTGTTAACGCTGTAATGCAGTATTTGAGGCCATAGAATTTTTCCATTCCGTCGCTCCGATGGCTGCGCTCCGTATTCTAATACTATCAAACGTCAACGGAAACATCCTAACCGACATTGATCGACACATAAACCAAATAAGTCTCGTGAACACGTTATCTATATCATGAGATCACAATCGACAAACTTTCTTAACCGGAAAACATGTAGTCGGGTAATGTAGGTGATGAAATTGCCAAAGTTGTTGACACAAGACTGTCGTTCACCAATTCAGCTATTCCTTTGCTTGCGAGCATTCCCAATGCAAAGCGGACGCAACTAGTGGTAGAGAAGAGCCCATAATCAATGTGAAACACATTGAGCTCGTCGAGCTCAATAGGCTAGTGATCATGACCATGGCCGCTATTCACTACACGCCGAGTTCCTTTCACAGCTCAGGCTCTGTCGACCTGATGGGTCCAAATCAGGATGAAACCCACTGTGGAGTGCAGGGATGGATTAAAGCAAAACCGGAACCCTCCACGTCAAATGTAGGTTTGAGACCAATTAATATCGAGCAAAAAGCACAACTAAAAATTAGAATTAGGCAAATTAACTTGTGTGTAACTTACAACTCGATGAAATCCGATAGGGCCTCTACGCAATTACTGATGCTCAGTTGGATAGAGAACAAGGCGAAGACACAAAAGTATGCACCAAATCCAAAGCATGGAGAACAGACCAAATAAAGTGGAAAGAAATATAACCAACTCAAAAAGACATGGTTGGCGGCATCCGGTTTCGGATTTGCCTGTCACTGTGGCAAGCCACAGGACGCCTGCGCCTACAGAGGGACCATGGATGGCTTGCGCTGCACCACCCACAGCTCCAACCACACACCCCATTTCCAGTGTAAACCCGAAGGAATAAGACCGGGAGGCATGCGGATGGGAACCACGTTTCATCAACGGAGCCGGCCCACACTCCTTCACAGACAAACACAAGCACGCTCTATTTGGGGAATCAAGCGCACACAAGGCGATGGCTGGACCGTAGTCCGCTGCACACTGAGTGCATGGAACCGCTCTTCGAGCCTACCACAGCCACAAGGACCGTGCACCCCGTCCCCTCCAGCAACGACCAACTGTCTGCT